TTTTTTTTTTTTTTTTTTTTCCTTTTTGTCTTTTTCCGTGTCTGGCAACGGTTCGCAACCCTCAGTGTCGCCCCCGTACCGGACCAGGACCGGCAACGGGATCGCAACCCTCGGTGTTGCTCCCGCACCTCGCTCAGCCAGTGAGCGGGAACCGGTCTGTATGTGGGATCCGAACCCTCGGCGGGAGTGCCACCGCGCTTCCCAAGCGGCGCACTATAGCAGTGCGCCACCGGGCCGGCCCCAGACATGTCTCTTTTTTCTGTTCCTTTTCTGCCACCGATTTCTCCTCCCTGGAGGCAACCAGTGTCGTCATGCTTCCTGTATTTGCCTTCAGAGGTATTTTACCCAATGTATGAGTCTGTTTCTGTTGCTTATAATAAAATACCTGGAACTGGGTGATTTATAAGAAAATGATATTTGTTGCTTAGAGTTTCAGAGGCTGGCAAATCCAAAGTCCAGGGGACACATCTGGTGAGGGTCTTGGTGATGGTGGCAGTGACCCAGGGTCTCACATGGCAGAAAATGGCGGAGCAGAGAGTGACTAACGTCCTCAGTCACTCTCCTTTTAAGGCCACCAGAAGCACTCCCGTGATTCCAAGAATGGATCAATGCATTCACAAGGGTACAGTCCTCACAATCCAATCACTTCTTCAAGGCCCCACCTTTCAATTACCATAATTAGGACTTCCCAGCCTCTTAACAGTCACAGTGGGGATCAAGCTTCTAATACATAAAACTTCGGGGACACAATTCAATCCTATCACCCAGATACAAGGAAATCTAAATACATACGTTTTCCCATCTTGTGCAAAAATGCTCTATCATACAGACTTCTACTCTGTATCTTGCTTTTATTTTATTTTTCCCATAATAGGGCCTGGAGATGGTCCCATATATCAAGGCATACAGTTTCCTCATTCTATTTTAGGTTGTGTTGTAATCTATCATTTCAGTGATAGCCACACGCATTCCCAACTGGTGTTCCTGTAGTTGTTTCCAGTTCTTTGCCGTTTCCATGATGCTGTTGTAGTGAGCAGCCCTGAACATACACATTTTACTCACGCGCCAGGGCACCTGTAGGACAAATCCCCAGCAAGAGTAACTGGTCGCAGGATCTGGTCCCCCCCAACCTCTGACAACCACTGATCCTTCTACGGTCTCCATAGTTCTGTCTTTTCAGGAATGTCACAGAGTTGGAAACACACAGTGTGCAGTGACCCTTTCAGATTGGCTTCTTTTTTTTTTTTTGGTCCTTTTTGAGACCGGCTGCACTGTGCTCAGCCAGTGAGCGCTGTGAGCGCACTGGTCATCCCTATATAGGATCCGAACCCGCGGCAGGAGCGCTGTTGCGCTCCCAGCGCTGCAGTCTCCCAAGTGCGCCACAGGCTCGGCCCTCAGATTGGCTTCTTTTTTTTTTTTTTTGGTCCTTTTTGAGACCGGCTGCACTGTGCTCAGCCAGTGAGCACTGTGAGCGCACTGGTCATCCCTATATAGGATCCGAACCCGCGGCAGGAGCACTGCTGCGCTCCCAGCGCAGCAGTCTCCCAAGTGCGCCACAGGCTCGGCCCT